GACGCCTCATGATGAGATCAGTGCCCTTATAAGAAGAAACAAGGAGAGTTTCCTTCCTCTCTTTGTCATGTAAGGACACAGCAAGATGGCCATCTGTGAACCAGGAAGAGTGTCCTCATGACACACCAGATTTACTAGCACCTTGATCTTGGACTTCCCAACTCCTAGAACTGTGAGAAATAAATGTTTACTGTTTAGCCATCTCTGGTAATTTGTTATAGCAGCCCAAACTAAGACACTGACCTTCACCCAGTAGCCAGTGGTTCTCATCTATAAAGCCCAACACAAACTTTCTATAATAAATTGTACTTATAACACTCCCTTTACTATCCTATGCAGACTGATGCAATTCTGTTGTGTCAGAGATTTAAATAGTACCAGGAACTGGCTTTGCCATCAGCATGATTTTCTGAAATGGTGAACAGAAGTCTGAATGAAGCAAACCACTGTACAGTCTTCGCACCATTTGTACAGTAGTTACATGCCTACAAAACTGTGCAAAAAATATTTTGTGTTCATATGTAAGAGTTAGGTTATAAGCTCAGCTAATTATTAACTGTTTTTTCACCTTCCAGGTATCTAGGACATTTTGATAGTTGTGCAGGACTCAGGACAATATGTTGTGCAAGACTATCCCAGGCATTGCAAGAAGTCTGGCATCCCTGGCCTCTACCCTACCAAATGCCAGAGGTATTCCCAATCATTGTGACAATCAAAAACATTTTAACCTCTTTTGGGGTGTAGTACCATTTCTGCTGAGAATCACTGTAGTAAGAAGACATCAGAAATATTTTTTCTCCTCTCAAGTTCACTGAGGAATTTTTTTTTAATGCAGTAAAACACAAATAATGCTATACGCTCCCATATTTCCAATGCCTGGAACTAACACCTCTAATATTTTGTCTTGTTTCCAGTCTTTTTTTTTTTTTTTTAATTAATGGCCGGCTGGTACGTCCAGTCTTGTTTCTAAAAGAAGTAAAAAATTAAAGATTCCTTTAACCTCTACCCTACTCTCTTTCCTTTTCTACTCCACCTCACCTCACCCTCAATATAACTACTATTGTGAGTTTGGTGAGTCCTTTTAATTCATTTTTTGTTTTTATAATCATACATGTATCCATAAACAACAGAGTACAGTTTTGTATTTATTACAACCTCATTTTTTCCCCATGGGTTTGTGATGTACCCTTTATCATATTGTTTCTCACATATACACTGATGTTTTAAGCTCATTATTCTATGCCATCAGTCTATTTGTCTACACCTACACTAGTACCACACCATTTAGGTTATTATTAGCTTTCTACTATATCTTGATATTCCACAGGCCCAACACATCTTCTTTGTCCCTTTTCAAAACTGTCTTAGCTACTTGTGCTTTTAAGGATTTTTTTTTTTTTTTTTTAAAGATGACCGGTAAGGGGATCTCAACCCTTGGCTTGGTGTTGTCAGCACCACGCTCAGCAAGTGAGCTAACCGGCCATCCCTATATAGGATCCGAACCCACGGCCTTGGTGTTATCAGCACCACACTCTCCCAAGTGAGCCACGGGCCAGCCTGCTTTTAAAGATTTTTAAGGGACTGGCCAGTTAGCTCAGTTGGTTAGAGCATAGCCTTATAACATCAAGGTCGTGGGTCTGGATCACCGTACTGACCAGCCACCAAGAAAAAAAAGAAGAAAAATATTTTTAAGAAGAAAAGTGTTGTCTTCTATAGACATTTGGCCCAGGATGGGAGGGTGAAAAGTCAGAGAAACTTGGGAAAAATAGAGGTGGGGTAGAGAGGATGTTCCATTCAGAGAGAAAGCATGAATAGGAATAGAAACAAGAAACGGCATAGTGCAACCATACAAGCAGTTTTATATTACTAGAAAATAAAGAAGTGAGAGCATAAGTTGAGTCAGGTCTTAAGGACCATATATGCCATACTGAGTCTGAACTTGACCTATAGGCCAGGGATTCTTAAGATACTGTCTGTGGTTGAGCTTCTGAAATTATCTTAAGCAGGGTAGTGGCATACTCAAAAGTTGTTCCAGGGCCGGCCCCGTGGCTCACTCAGGAGAGTGCGGCACTGGTAGCGCCGAGGCCACGGGTTTGGATCCTATATAGGGATGGCCGGTGCGCTCACTGGCTGAGTGTGGTGCAGACCACACCGTGCCGAGGGTTGTGATCCCCTTACCGGTCAAAAAAAAAAAAAAAAAAAAAGTTGTTCCACATAGATGTCTCTGACAACAATGTGACAAATAAGTTTGTTGAGGTCAAGATTGGAACCAAGACCATGAAAAGGCTTCTGCAAAAAATGTAAGCAAGAAACAATAAAGGTAAAACTGATTAAGTAGGTGTTTCAATGGTAAAAGTAAGACAATTATTTGGTTGGGAGCAGGGCACGGGGAAACATCTAGTAAAACTCTCCTACTTCTGACATGAATGATAAGGAGGATGAGAGTTCCAGAACTATTTTCTTTTGTCCCCATTTGACAGATAAACAGAATTTATGAGATTAACTGGCCTATTGCAATATATCTATAATGGCAGAGGCAGGATATCAACGCTGAGCACTTAACTACTTCATATATTAAAACCATTGAGAGTGCTCAGAATAATCTAGGAGAATGTACGGAATAAGAGCAATGGGCCAAGAATAAAACTCTGAAAACATCAGTGTTTAAAGCAGGCAGAGAAACTCCCAAAAGAAATCAAAAGGAAAAGTCAAAGGACACAAAAGATAGTGGTCCTTCCTGGTGGCCAAAGTAGGGCAGTACAGCAGAGAAACAGTAAGGGGAGGACTAGTATCAATAGTGGATCTGGGGGCCGGCCTGTGGCTCATGTGTGGTGCTGATGACACCAAGGCCACAGGTTCGGATCCCATATAGGGATGGCCGGTTCGCTCACTGGCTGAGCATGGTGCTGACAACACCAAGTCAAGGGTTAAGATCCCCTTACCAGTCATCTTTAAAAAAAAAATAGCGGATCTGGCACAAGGGAAGCAACCTTAAGGAATTTCAATGGAGTGGTGTAGGTGGAGAAAACTTTGCTTAAGGAAGTGGCAACATCATGCAAGACTTAAATAATCTTCAGTAGTCTGTTTTGGTGGGGGTGGAAGGCTTTAAGCAAATTTATATATTGAGCAGAGGATGAGTTAAAGAGAGAGAAGATAATTAAAGGAGCAAGATCTTGGGTTAATAAGAATGAAAGCAGAGACTGCAGATGTTGGTGAGTTGTTCAGGGGATCAGCTGTGGGCCTAGGCTGGATAAGGAAGCTGTTGAGGCAAAGAGGAGGCTGGCAGATTGGAAGGAAATAGAATGAGATTTGAACTCTCCAAGTTCTAGAATAGTTTAGGGACCAAGGGAAGATATGCCCTTCAACCTCCATGAAAGTTCTCTGAAAAAAATCACCTGATAAACCGATTAATACAAAGAAAAGGCGTAACAAATTTTATTATATTAGTTTTACATGACATAGGAGCCTTCACAATTAAGACCCAAAGATATAGGGAAAATTGTGCATATTTATACTTAGATTCTATGAAGCAGGCACAGCTGTGTAGAAATGTGATTAGACAAGAAAAATATGTTCTAATGCTAATAGACCGAGTGGGGAAACCCAGCAAGGCCCCTTCAGATTCTTGGCTCTCTGTGTAGCATTAATTCCTCCAGGGTATGAGACAGGACCCTTTCTGGAATGGGGGTCTTATACCCTACAATCAGACAAGGTAGGTCAGAGTATTAATTTATGACCAGCACCAAGATAGTCAGAAAAGGGAGATTAGAGTATCTATGACCCATCTTGGGGAAGAGGGATCCTAGTTTCTATGGCTTGCCTCAGGGGAGAATGAGGCTGAGGAACATGAGGGCAGGAGGTCAGAAGAAAACTTTGCTTTTGAAGCTGCTGCTGAGGCCTTCACTTTGGGGTATCACTTTCTGGGCCCCAACATTAGAAATGAGAATGTAAGAATATTTGCCAAACAGGACTTATGTTTTACTTGGTTAGGGAAGTCACTATCTGAAAGTGGCACTGGTAATCTGGGAGAATGGTGACCCTACTGTATAAAAAATGAGAAAACAGGAGGGCTAGCAGGTTAGCTCAGTTAGAATGGAGTGTTGTAACACCAAGGCCAAGGGTTCAGATCCTCATACCAGCCAGCTGCCAAAAATAAGTAAATAAATAAATGAAAGAGAAAGCAGAGGAGACAGTAGAGTCCTCCATTAACACACAGAGAGGATGGGAGTAAAGGGGCTGAGGATATAGGAAAGCTGTTTTTTAAATCATGGAAGAGGTTTATGAGCAGGGGGGCAAAAACAGTATGCGCATGAGAGCATGGGAAAGGACAGGTGTCCAAGGGGGGCTAATATTTTGGGTAATCACGAAGAATGATGTGTACTAGCGACCTTCAAAGCTCAAAATGGAATGTTGGCAAGAATCGCTCTCTTCACTGAGGTTTTACTTCAAATGCACTGCATTTTATTTCAAATCCTCTTCACATCTCTGCAATAAGACCTACATTATGCATTAGCACAGTAAGAAGTCTACCCTTATGCTAATACTACATCTAGAGCTTAAAGAGTTGAACTGTATGCTGTTTATTATACGCTGCCAAATAGCTCTTCTTTTTGGGAACTCTCTCTCCTCCACTTTGTGCAATTTTATTAGGGCTGTCGAAAAAGGGCCTCTCTGCCTTCCTTGACACAGAGGTGCATGCGTGGCCATGCTGGCTACAGTACCCCATTACCTAGACATAGTTATTAGTCCAAGAATGGTCACTGCCCAAAGAAAAGCTTCTTACAGTTTTTTCAGGGGATTTATATAAATGCTAAGATAGTCTTCTCTCTGAGATTATGATGGCTGATACTACTCCTCCTAAAACTGTATATCCCCCATGGGATATACACAGGTGATAAAAGCTCAAGATATGGAAATCCAGTCTATGACTAGAAAACTGGTAGTCAAGGCTCCCACTTCTATGGTCCTAAACTACTTGGGCAAACAAAACCACCAAGACATAGACATGGCAAAATATTTAATGTCTGGAGGTGTTTCTCACCCTCACATTCCTATTATGATTCGAGAGCCTCCACAAACTGTGTCAAATTGGCACAAACTGGCAGTACCAGAGAAACCGTGGGCACTTTCTTCCAGCAGGATTTGAAAACCATCAAGGCCCTAGTCTTCTTGACTTGGAAATGATAGCTGGCGATGTCCTTCCACAGCATGGCTCAGGCTTCTCTACTCAGGGGAAAAAGTCTCCCAGTTCTACAGGACTCCTGAGGTCTTCTGTTCTTCTGCAGCCCGGCGCCGGGAGCTGCGCTGCTGGAGATAGTCGTAAGCTCGAGCACTGCAGAGGTAGCCCCCGTACACAGTGAGGAGCATCATGGAGGCAGAGAAGGTCTTGTAGCCAATGTCAGCTAGCTGCTTGGCAGATGGCATGTCACTCTCTACGAAAAAGAGACTGGATTTAGACCAGAGAAAGAGGCCTCATTGCCCTGCACACTTCCCTGTTCAAGGCCATTCCATAACTTCTGCATCCTGCTTAGTTTATCTGTACTCTATACTGAATGGCCCCTACATGTAGGCAGAGTCTTACAAGGATACTAGAAGATATCATTTAGGAACTCTACGATTCAAAAGGGCAAATAAAATCTGCATACAAGATACAGAAATAAGGCTAGAACCCGGTGTATATGAAAGCCATCACAGTTAACACTTGACCCTCCATGTTTGCGGAGAGAAGTGACTGGCATGGACAATACACAACTGTTCTCAACTGGTACATTACTTTAAGCATCCATTAGTTTTTCTGGCTAATAGGGGACTAGTGGAGGTCTCCTGGGATTAAATATTTGCAGTCAGAGCCATTGCAGTACATTGAGCTCCAGAGACAGCGCCAGGGCAAGTGAGAGCCGGATGGGCACAGGGTGACTCTATGCCTTGCTGAGGAAAAATAGCTAAACATGGGCAAAGGAGATCCTAAGAAACTGAGAGGCAAAATGTCATCATATGCATTCTTTGTGCAAACTTGTTGGGAGGAGCACAAGAAGAAACACCCAGATGCTTCAGTCAACTTCTCAGAGTTTTCTAAGAATTGCTCAGAGAGGTGGAAGATCATGTGTCCTAAAAAGAGAGGAAAATTTGAAGACATGGCAAAGGCGGACAAGGCCCGTTATGAAAGAAAAATGAAAACCTATATCCCTCCTAAAGGGGAAACAAAAAAGAAGTTCAAGGATCCTAATGCACCGAAGAGGCCTCCTTTGGACTTTTTCTTATTCTGTTCTGAGTATCGCCCAAAAATCAAAGGAGAACATCCCAGCCTATCCATTGGCGATGTTGCAAAGAAACTGGGAGAGAGGTGGAACAACACTGCTGCAGATGATAAGCAGCCTTCTGAAAAGAAGGCTGCTGAGCTGAAGGAAAAATATGAAAGGATATTGCTGCATACCAAGCTAAAGGAAAGCCTGATGCAGCAAAAAAGGGAGCTGTCACGGCCGAAAACAAGAAAAAGAAGAGGAGGAAGACGACAAGGATGAAGAGGATGAGGAGGAAGATGAGGAAGAGGAAGAGGATGATGAATAAGCTGGTTCTAGCACAGTTTTGTTTTTTTTCTTGTCTATAAAGCATTTAACCCCCCTGGTACACAACTCACTCCTTTTAAAGGAAAAAACTGAAATGTAAGGCTGTGTAAGATTTGTTTTTGGGCCGGCCCCATGACTCAATCGGGAGAGTGCGGCACTGGTATCGCCAAGGCCGCGGGTTTGGATCCTATATAGGGATGGCTGGTGCGCTCAGTGGCTGAGTGTGGTGCGGACAACACCATGCCGAGGGTTGCGATCCCCTTACCGGTCAAAAAAAAAAGATTTGTTTTTAAACTGTACAGCGTCTTTTTTTGTATAGTTAACACACTACAGAATGTGTCTTTGGATAGCCCTGTCCTGGTGGTATTTTCAATAGCCACTGACCTTGCCTGGTACAGTATGGGGGCTGTAAATTGGCATGGAAATTTAAAGCAGTTTCTTGTTGGTGCACAGCACAAATTAGTTATATATGGGGATGGTAGTTTTTTAATCTTCAATTGTCTCTGATGCAGCTTATACAAAATAATTGTTGTTCTGTTAACTGAATACCTCTGTAGTTGCGGGGGAAAAAAAGTTGCAGCTGTTTTGTTAACTTTCTGAACGCTTCGAAGTAAGTACAAGTTTTTTAATTAAATAAATAAATAAATAAAAATAAATATTTGCAGTCAATTATTCTCTCTAGGAGGATCAAATGGGAAACTTTCAGGCAATATCTGTTTTCCCAGAGAAATAATCTTACGTTGTTAGGTTCCCAAGTTAGCCCTAAAGCATGTTTAAGCCATAATGTACCTGAAATAGTGCCAACAGTACTTTTATATTACTTCAGTTATACTTAACCTTCCATAGCATTAATTCTAAGTTCTAAACTTAACACTAAGAACCTATCCCCAGTGCTAAGAAGAAACTTACTGAGTCCCCAGCAAAATGTTAACTCACATTTGCATGAGATAAATTATTTCTAATTTAACTATTCCCTGGATATTCTGAGCTAGGGGACAAGAGAAAGTTTTGTATGGGAATCCCTCACCTGGAACAAAATGTTCCTCACTTTGGAACTATGAATATTTTTTAGACTCCTCTTTGTTGAGGGAATTGAAATTAAAAGCCTGATTCAAATTAGTAAGAATAGGTTTCTTAAAAGTAAAGAATTTGGAAGAAGAAAAGCTCAGGATTGGCTGGTTTAGGGTGTCTGAGGTGGGGAGAGACAGGTAAGTGCTTCTCAGAGTGAGCCCTAAGGGCTGAACAATGCCTCTGAAGCAGGCCTTGAGGGCAGATCCTAAGCTAAACTGAGGTACAGCTTCTTAGAATTATAATTCCACTATGGAAAGTGACATTAAATAAAGTAGAGGAAAAAAGCCAAATGACACAGGTTCAAGATGAGAAAGGTCTCTGTGTTCAGGTTACCTGAGGTTTGAAATAACCCCAACCTGTGCATGAGACAGTGAAGAAAACACATGCTCTGTGTGGAACACTAAGATAGTAAACAAGCACCCTGCAAAGAGACCTGCAGCCTCCAACTTCCCCCTCATTGATTCTTTCTCCTCCCATCCCCCATTACCCAAGTCAGAGCTAAGCAGTTATAGGACCACCTCAAGGGGCTGGAAGCATTCACCAGCCAACAAAGAAACAGGATGGTTCAGTTTGGCCAGAAGAGTGACACAAGACCAACATATATAATCCTGGTGTCTAGAACCTCACCTCCTTCTCTTACCTAAACCATCCTGAGGTTTTTCTCCTGTTTTCAAATTAGCAAAAACCCCTCACAGACCTGAGCTAAAGCAAAAGCAGTAGAAATGGAGAGGACAGACACAGAAGTTATTTTGGAAGTAGAACAGAATTGATCAGTTGAATGGATTAGGGCAAAACTGAACAAAACCTCTGCTATGGTTTGAATGTTTGTTCCTTCCAAAACTCAAGTTGAAACTTAATCCCCAATGTGGCAGTATTGAGAGGCGGGACCTGTAAGAGGTGATTGGGTCACCTCTTAATCATGGATTAATGGGTTATTATCATGGGAGGGGACTGGTGGCTTTAACTTTAAACAAAGAGAGATGTGAGCTAGCATGCTCACACCCTTATGTGATGCCCTGCGTGGCCTGGAGACTCTACAGAGAGTCCCACCAGCAAGAAGGCCTTCACTAGATATGTCACCTCAATCTTGCACTTCCCAGCCTCCAAAACTGTAAGAAATAAACTTCTTTTCTTTATAAATTACCCAGTTTCAGGCATTTTGTTATAAGCAACAGACACTGGACTAAGACAACCTCCAAGTTAGGAAGTTTTGTGGATTGGGATACTGTTAACAGAAATAAGAAAGAAGAGGGCCGGCCCCGTTGCTCACTCAGGAGAATGCGGCGTTGGTAGTGAGGCCGCGGGTTCGGATCCTATATAGGGATGGCCGGTGCACTCACTGGCTGAGTGTGGTGCAGACGGCACCAAGCCGAGGGTTGAGATCCCCTTACCGGTCAAAATAAAATGAATAAGAAACGAGAAGAAAGAGGTGTGTGTCACTGTGTGGTGGCAGTGTCAGTCAAGAAGATCATGAGCTGGGTTTTGGACAGGCACCAAGCCGAGGGTTGAGATCCCCTTACCGGTCAAAATAAAATGAATAAGAAACGAGAAGAAAGAGGTGTGTGTCACTGTGTGGTGGCAGTGTCAGTCAAGAAGATCATGAGCTGGGTTTTGGACATGTTAAAATTAAGATGCTAAATGCAACATTCATGGGATATGTCTACCAGGCAGATAGAATGCAAATCTGAACAGATCTTGGGAGAGGCTACATTTCAGATACAGATGTAGTTAACAAGTGACACCAAAGCAGAGGATAAGACAAGAAAGAGAGAGGCTAAGGGAGCAACAGTTTGAAGAAGGAAACCATTAAGGAAAGAAGGCAGGTAGGAAATTCCAGAAACATCTGGGGGGCTTTTTCATATAACGACATCTCCCTTCCTTGTTAAAAATCATTGCTGTATCAAGTCACTGCCACTGATGGAGGTGTGCTGTATCTTCCCAGTGTTTTAGGCCAGAATAAAAATTGGGAACCACTACTGCAAAGTTAACTGTCATGAAGACTGGTCAGATGGGACCACTGGGTGAGAATGGGCAACTAGGTCACTGGTAAGTGTAGGGTAGAAGTCGGCTTAGTGCTCTGAACTGTAACAGAAAGTATAAGTATCAATTAAAGAGCACAGATTCTTCACCAGCACCCCAGCAGGCCTATCAAACATGCCCCCGGCAAGGTTCATATGTGTCTAGCATTTGTCCAGGAGAGACAGAAACAGATTATTAGAAGGATCATAATTCCCTCACCCCAAAGATTGATTATTCTTGTTACTTGCTGTTAAGGAAATGGGAGTTTGGGGCAATAGCTCGAGAAGGTAACAAGATCAAGAAAATTCCAGTTTTTTTTTTTTTTCCTTTTTGTCTTTTTTCGTGACCGGCAACGGATCGCAACCCTCAGTGTCGCGCCCGGACCGGGACCGGCGACGGGATCACAACCCTCGGTGTTGCCCCCGCACCTCGCTCAGCCAGTGAGTGGGAACCGGTCTGTATGTGCGCCACCGGGCCGGCCCTCCAGTTTTGTTTTGCTTATTAATAAGGCAGATATGAATATGTTTTAAAAGGGGAAGAAGCTGATGAATAAACTGAAGATAAAAGAAGTGAGGTGGACAGGACAGAACCGTATCAAGGACCTCCCAGGAAAAGATGAAATTAGAAGCCCAAGTAGAAGGATTAACCTCGGAAATGAAGGAAACTTTTGAGGTTAGTAGAACGTTCTCATCCGAGGGATGTCCATTTTCTCAATAAAGCACAAAGCTGGGTCTCTGTAATGAAGAGATGGGGTTGGACGGCAGCTTTCAGAAAAACAGTAAAAAACACAGTAAGACTCATTACAGAAAATGCCATAGGGGTGCAATTTGCAAGGGATATGTGGCTTTTCTCTTTTCCTGCCCTCTAAACATGAGAGGCCCTCAAAGATCGCGTTTCTCCCCTGGAAAACACATTCCCTCAAATGCGTCTAACACCTCAACTTAGAATCACTCAGTTATCTTTTACTCGGCACTTATGCTATGAATGCCGCAGAAAAGAACATGGAGGAGTTTATGGTCTAATGGGCATAAGCTAAGCATCCTATATTCTGTTAGACAAAGTAAAACACGGTACGTGAGCAGAAGAGGCGCTGTGAGAGTTCACAGACAGGGTGGAGGCTCGAGAAAGGTTAGCAGAAAGGTGTGGGGGTGGAGCTGTCTTTTTAGAAGAAGGATTTACACCAGCGGAAAAGACGGAGGGGGAGAGGATTCCAGGAGGTGAAAGTAGCAAAGTGGTGGAGCTAGATAACTGACATGCGCGAAGGTGATCAAGATGGCCACGTATACCGGCGCAGTAGACTATAAGGCAAGGAAGGGGCGTTTGGAGTCGGAGCGTGGAGGGCCTAGATGCTAGGCGGGAGTCGAGGTTTGACCGGACCAGCGCGGCGCTCTGGCAAGGCTACCCTACTGCCACAATGGAGTCGCGTAGTAAGCAGTGCAGACTGCCACTCGCGGTTGCCGAAGCAGCATACGCGCGTGACTTCAAGGGCACCGAAGGCAGGAGACTGGGGGATGGGAAGATGCGGTAAGCAGAAGCCGGCCCAGGTGGGCACGTACCCAGCGGATCGACGGCCCCAGCTCGGCCCTAGCCGATGGCGTACCTGGATGCTGCAACTCCCAGGCGTCCAGCCGAGGCCTCCGCAGGCAGCGTCTCGCTGCCACGGTCCGCTCAACTTCCTAGCGCGGCAGAACGCAGCGCCCGGAACCAGATACGTGAGGATAACTGCCCAGGAGCAACCGGGAACGCCTTAGCTATTGGTGCGGAAAGCGACCCTTTCTCCCGCCTATCCGCCAGGCTTAGCCTCTAAGGATTCTGCTCCTGACGCAAGAGAGGGAACAGCTCACCGGACACAGCACAACTCCGCCCACTAAGGCGGGAGCTAGAGCCAGCCACAACTTCGACGCTGTCCAGCTTTGAACCTCCGGCTTCCGGGCCAGCCATCCTTACTACGCATCCTCAGACGAGCTTTCCCCTCGGAGAGGCCCGTTGGATTCTGGGGGTTGTGGTTATGGTCTGTGGAGAGAGGGTCTCTGATGACCCACGTTCTAGAACCGGAAGTTTAAGTATGTTCAGTCGGTCAGCCAATCGTCAGCCTAAGTCGTGGTGACGTCTACGGTAGCTAGGTAGATTCTCTCGGAGCCCGTCCCCTGGAAGTGGAACGCGCGCCCCCTAGATCCTGGAGCTGCCCTCTCGTGGGTGGCTCGGCTGCGGGCCGAGCTCAGGTAGGCACCAGACCGGCACCGCGGGACCTGGACCACCGAGTGTGAGACAGGTTGGGCCATGACCACGGAGTGGACACGAGCGGTGCCTCTCTAACGTTTCTGTCCCATGTGTGACCGCCCCGCTTGCAATCGGCGTGATAAAGCCCCTACGAAGCGCTGGCAAGGCTAGGTGCCAGCTTGGGGGGAGGGGCGTGGAGCGGCTGGCGGGAGAGGGAGGAGAGAGGAGCGGACTGAGTGGGCACCGCTTCTGGGGGCCGGGAATGCTGCGATTATCGAGGGGGTATTTCTTTTTTCACTTTTGTTACCGTAAGAGTGAAAACGTGCATGCAGTGACACATGACAGCACACGCACTGCCACATGCACTGAAGCTCCCTTCCCCAACTCTCTGCTTCTGGAAAAATCGTGCTTTATTGGGTAGACAAGTAGGCCTGATAAGAAGGCCTCGGATTCACAGTTAACTGCGGAGTGAACAAAAGTAGCCAAAGATGTTTGAAGCTGCCTCTCTGCCCCCACCTTAACCTCCTGGAGAGGCAGCTGTGGGTTCGTTCAGTCAGTGCTCGACCTGGGCCCAGCCAAGCCTGGAGGGACTCTCGTTGCCTGTCTGGACAGTTGTGCCCTTCACTGGTAAGAGTGAATTCTCAAGTGCTAGGAGCGGAGAGGAGCCTGCCTTCCTGGTTTATTGGAGAGTACGGGAGGGTTAACCTAACGAGGGCCAGAGTCAGGTGCTCCCGCACAGGAAGCTGAGACCCCTGCTGGACTGGCAGGAGCCTCTCAGGCCTTCCAGGACTATTTATAGCCAGGAGCCTAGGCTGCTGACCTGTGACATTCCCCTGCTGCCACCCCATCCTGGAGCCAGTCCAGTGCAAACCACACTCCTCCCAATCCCTTCTTCCCTTAAGCAAGGGAGTAGGGTGGGTTTTATTTTCCTCCTCCTCGAGTGTCCCAGCTCCTGAGGTGCTGATGTGGTCAACACCTCGTGAGAAGGTCCTCATTCAACACAGGAGAGCTGGCCTTGACATATCAGGACCCACTAACATAGGAACTTGCCCACCCTTCCCTACCCCCACTCAGCCTTTGGACCATTTTCAGGCCTTCTGGTCTCCAGATGCCAGGTGCTAGTTACCTGCCCTGGCTACTTTGAGGCAGCTGAGAAAGAGGTACAGGGTTTGGGAAGAGGAAAAGGGGTAAGGTCAGGGGTGTCCTCTGGGGAGACAGCAGCAAGAGGGGCCCAGCTGACACCTCCCTCATTTTGAGCTCCTGAGAAGGGAGTCAGGGCAAATGCAAAGGTCACAGAGGGCCCAGTGATCTGAGCCTGCTATGAAAAGGTGTAGCTCAGTCAGCAGATTAAGCTCCTTCTCCCCAAAGAGGGTGCAGGCAGGGAGGGTGAGGGAAGGCTTAGAAAGGTCAAGCAGGGTGGGAAGGAGCTGGCAAGGAACTAGAAACCAGGAAGGCCATGGGGAAAATGGCAAGCCCCAGGACCAGAGATGTCAGCGTGGCATCAACTCTGGTGCCAGGGCAGCCTGGGGGAGGAGAAAATGGGATGAACAGGTTTCTGAGGACGCAGATGTTGCTAGGAGAAGCTAGAAGGGAGTTGTTTGAGATCTTTGTATTTTGTTAACAAACACTGAGATCCATTGATGCTGTGTGGGGCCCAGCAGAGGTCAGCCAAGGGTCCCTGGGGCCTATGTCATCTCAAAAGCCCAGGCCCCTCACTGGCAGCCCTTGCCTCATCCCTCCTGGGGCTAAGGGACTTCCTTAGCCACTTAACTGGGCTTGGGGACAGGATTCCTAGTCTGTCTGAGGCAGCAACTGCGGCCCTTGCCCTGCCATCTTCTCCCTCCACCCTCTTCCATGTACACAAACACAAAGTAGGCAGCACTGGGGCTTGATTCTACCGCTCCCAGAGGACAGAGAGAAAGCCCCACATCTGGAGAGGGACAGGGCAACTCCATCTCTGGCAACATGGTGGCAAGAGGCTGCAGGCTGCTTGGCAGTTCAGGATCTCCAGGCATGTAGCTGGGCCCCACAGCCTCCTATCCTCCAGTGAAAAGTTGAGAAGACTCTGCTCTATGGGGAGTCCTGGAGATCCTGGTGATGAGGTGCCCATACTTCCATCTGTCTCCACTGGGGTAAGAAGCTGCCTCGCCTGGGCCCTGGCCTCGCTCAGATATGTTCTGGATGATTCTGCAGGCAGTGGATGAATTCACCCACTGGCTGTCCCTCGTAGCACACCTTGTACACAGCCATGAACAGGGGAAACCTAAAGTGGGAAGGGATAAACCCAGCTTAGCCTCCCCATTCACCATCTATCCCACCTTGGAGCTCAGGCAGACTCTGGCTCTCAATTTCCACCTGCTGAGAATCTGAACTGTCTAGCCCTTGGTTTTAGTGTCAGGTTGCTAATTGCCCTGCTCCCTATCATACTGAATTTGCCTGCTTGATTCCCTGGCTTGAATTTTTTGTTCCAGTTGGGACACCCACTTAGCCTCTCTGAGGCTGTCATCAGCTGTAACGTGGAACTAATATAACAAAGTAGTGAAGGTATGATTGTTTATGTGAAGACATGATTATGTATTATGTGCAGGTGCTCAATAAATGCCAGTTTCTTTCTTTCTGTCCTCTTGTCAGGCTGCTCCCTTTACCAGGAGGCTCTACCTTGACCAGCCATGGACTCATCTTCTGAACCTGTTTCTTACTCTTTTTCTAGAATTCTTTCCCAGGCCAACAGAGCTCTGCTCTGATCAGCCCAGTCACCTCCACTGTCTTTGCGAAGACACCCTGAAGCAGAGCCCATCCTTCTCCTTATACCTCAGCATCCAGGACAGGATTTGGAGGAAGGAAGGGTTGGTCGTGGGAGAGAGGCTCAGACTGGGGGTGATGTACACAGAGTTGGGACAGTCAGATAAGCTTATTCCTGCTGCCCTAGAGCAGAGGACAAGGAGGAAAAAGGGGTCCAAGGAATGCAGTGTAAAGAGCACTAGACTGGAAGGAATTCAAAGACCATGAACAAGCTGGGGGACAATGGGCATACCAGACTCTTTCCAAGTTCTAGTCTCTTGGTCTATAAACACAAGGTAATGCTTCCCTCTCCATTTCCCAGATTGGAGGGTTCAGGAAGATGATTGGGGACAGCACTTCTGGCTCTGGCTTCCTCAACCAGTGGGAGATAGACACTTACTTGTCCACCAGGCCTTTGTGCTGTAGAATGCTGTGTAGCTCCCGGGCTGTCTGGGGCCCCTGAAGCTTCTGCCCATTCAGCATCTCTTTCTCCAGCTGCTCAATGGACTGTGAAGAAAACAGAATGAGTGGATGGAAGTGGGAGAGGAGGGCTGTCAGTATGAGATGGGAAGTCGGGCTCAGATGGGAGGTGGGGTCTTAGGAGGAAAGAAGGGGTGGGAATGTTCACAACAATCTCAATGTTTGTGCACAAGAGACACCTCCTGCCAGCATCTCACCTTGGCGCCCACAGGGCCCACCCCCCGTTCTCCCTTCTTCCCACGGCCCACCTTTCCTGTGCGGACAAAGGCTTCGGCCACCTTGCGGTTCCGCCCTCCATAGCAAGTAGTGATGAGGTCAGCAACACCACAGCTCTCCAAGAAGGTGGCAGAGGACACAGGGCCACTGCAGAAGAGCTTGGCAAAGGCGATCATCTCCATGAGCCCCAGCCGGATCACCGCCGCCTTAGTGTTGTCGCCAAAGCCCAGCCCATCGCAGAAGCCAGCCCCCACAGCCACTACATTCTTGGGGAAGTAGAGATCATGGGTGAGAAAGGACCCCCTCCTGCAGGCCCACTTGGAGCTCTCAGCATCTGCCTCATGTTCCTTGCACCAGCCTTGACATACCCACTGAATAAGTGAAGTATAGTGAATGGGCTCCTAAACTATTTCCACCTCTTGGTTTTCCCACTTGCTGTACCTCCTTTCTTAAGCCCCGCTTCATACTCCATCCTTGAGGACATTTTCTGAAAGTCACTCTTCTCTCCAGCTGGCCCTCCCATCCATGACCATTCTATTCTGTAGCCCTCATGTCCACAGCTGTCCAGGATCCATAGTTCTGGCCATCAGTCTGTCTGGGTGTCCTGGATGTCTTGTCTCCCATTAGCCTGGGCATGTCCTTTTCCCCCTGAACCAGGGATAGGGATTTCCTACAAGGGGCTATAGGGGGAAAGGAAGAAGAAGGTCCAGTGTCTGATGGTGAGTAATGAGCAGGCCTGAACGCCCCTGGCCGTGCTTTTGCAGTTCTTCCTAAGTGTGTGAGACTTGGTGGGGAAGGAGAGCAATGCCCAAGAATGAGAGCTGGAGTACCAGCAACTTTGTAGAGCTGAACCGGAGTCTCCTTTGGGCCCTTCTCTCCACCCCACAGCTGCCTCTGTGCCCCTCTCACCTTTAAGGCCCCACAGATCTCTACTGTGTCCACCTCTTGCACCACCGTGATACGGAAATTGGGTGTCTGCATCAGCTCTTTCAGAAGCTGTCCCTGGGCTAGGTCCTTGCAGCCTAAAGTAAAGAGGGGGCAAGACTTTCAGGGGGAACTCGGCTATCCTTCCCCTACCTGCCCTAAGCAGGACATGCAACCCTTCCCTGGGAGGTGTCCCAACCCTCCCTCACCTCTGATGCTTGAATCTTTTTCCTTTCCCTGCCTTATGGGAAGGAGAAGGCTAAGCAGGATGGGGGAATTTGAGGATGGAATGCAACCAGAACTGTGTTGTGTTTCTGGATTGGGGGGGCTCTCACCAATAGTTGTCTCACAGAACTTCTCATCAGCCACCTCGCTGGCAATGTTGGCCCCCATCAGCACACTCATGGGGATGCCAAGGCGCTCCCCAATAACTTCAGAGATGAGCTTCAGCCCATTGGGGCCCTCGTCTACCCCCTGGGCACAGGATGGAGCTCAGGCCAGGTGCCCCTTCTAGATCCACTGTCCATCAGTGTCCCTCCCCAGATGTTCTGCCCCATTCCAACCCAGCTAAAGCTTGCTGTGAGGAGGATAGACAGCATGTGAAAAACGAACCCATCTGAAAACTCTACTTCCACATCCACTTAACCAACCTACCTCTCAAGGCAACTATCCCTCCACACCCCTAAACAACTCCTTCCTGACTATCCCAAACAAATTCCATTCAGTGACCAGTCACTGCTCCAAACCAGCTCCCCTTTCATATTCCCCGAACCAGTCCACTTCTCACATCCCCTAGTCATCCCCAGATACCTCCTGAACTCCCTTAAGACATTTGCCTCCAAACCAATCTCTTACCTACTTCCCAACCAACCTCCCCTTCCAGCGACCCCCAGCATGTCTGCTCTCTTAAACCAATTCCTCTCCAAAGCCAGTTTCTCTTCTTCGAGAAACTCTTGGCCTACTTTTTGGCCATTTTCTTTTCTTGTTTCACTCACCCTGAGCCCCACAAAAGTTAGCTGCACCCTCCCCAATCCACATGAAGGTGTCCCTGGCACCTTAATAAGAGATATGCCAATGGCATTCGCCTTCAGATGGCCCTTGAGCTGGTCACAGATCTTGCCAATGAACTGATGGGGCACCACAAAGATCAGGATGTCAGCATCCGTTGCAGCCTGAACCACATCTGGGACAGCCACCTGTGGGGGTGACCGGGTATTCATGGGCCAGGCAGACCCAGCCCCTGTGGGACCCCATTCAGGAGATCTAGGAGCCAAAGAGTGAGGCTGGTAGGGGAGAAGGAAGGGTGGCTTGGGACTGAATCTGGAAGGACTGAACTTGGAGGGAAAGACACTCTGTTCCCTCCCCCAACCATCACTCTCTGCTCCAGCTGTCGTGGGTTCTTGAGGACTCCTGGAAACCTCTTCCCAGCACTCTCCTAGCCCTTGGCTGTGGGACAGTGAGGGAGGCCAAAGATGGCCTGGGCTTGGCAGGAGGAAGAGGCCAAGTAGATTTCATCACCCTGCTCCTTATGGCCCGCAATTGATAAGGAAGAGCCCAGTCTTTCTGCTCTCTTCCCTGCTCCCCCTTTCCAGGTGGGGAGAGAGCCACATGGATTTGACCAAAGACCGTAAGTCCATGGAGCAGCTTCCAAGTCCGCTAATCACCCAGTAAATGAGTAACTGGATTATGGCCTGAGGCAGGCACAACCTGGACCCCAAGTCTGGGAGCCTCAGAACCAGTCTTTGGTTGCCATGGAGATCAACTTCCTTGTCTTCTCCCTGTCCCTTCCCTGCCTGGGTGCCTATAAGGGAGGAGGTACATTCAGGTTCTCCTCAGTCCCAGGAAGTGCACAGAGGAGTAGCTTGGGGGCTGTGGGTAGGGTTTCCCTGTGCCCAGAGCAGCCTTCTTGAGACACTGCCTACATCCAGCTGGCACCTGAAGTGGCCCCTCACAACAGGAAGCACCTCATCAGTAAGATCTGAGCTCTGACTCTCCTGGCCTTCCCTCCCTCTACTTCCCTCTCTCCCTTCTTTGCAGGGTGTTGGGACTCACCACATTTGGGGGCAGCTTGTGCCCTGGCAGGTATTTGACATTCTCATGCTGTGCGTTGATGATCTCTGTCAGCTTTCTGCCCCCGACATCTTCCTCAAACACCCACATGGTCACTCGAGGGTCAAAGCGTGCCAGCTGGGCTGCATTACTACCCACGATCTTGGCAATCGCTGAGCCCCTAGTGGGAGGGGGAGCACAGAAAAGTGGAGGAGTGGGTGGAGGTGAGGAGGGAAGAGTGGCAGAGGTTGGGGCAGTGCCCCCTCAGGGTCTCACAGCAACCCACCAGATTATTTACTTCCTACCTTCCTTGTCACCCCCATTCTCATGACAAGTGTGTCCCCAGTGACCTGGCAGTAGAAAGGAGATTGTCTCACACTTTGCTGCTGGAGAAGGGGCTTGCCTTCTGATCTGCCCACCCCCAAACCCAAGCAGCTTTTCAGGCAGGGAGCATTCTGGAATCTCCAGTCCTATGGTGAACAGGTGCAGCTGCCCAGGCAGGCAGGGGCTAGGAGAGGTCTGGGCACTGGCTGTCCTGTGCCTGTAGGCACAGAATATAGCAGCAGGGGTCGAACAGGAAGCTGAGGGCATTTCTACCCACTCTCTGCGTCCTGCCCACCAAACCTCCCTCCTTAGCCTCTCTGTACTTGGGAGAACCCACCCTTCCCCCTTATCCCTTAGCAGAACCACTTACCAGTTGCCGGAGCCTACAATGCAGACTTTCTTGCCAGCCATGGTGCCGCTTCTTTGCCTGAGCCGGCTCAGTGCCACACTCCCCAGCTCCTCTGCCAGCTAGGAGCATTTAACTCTGCCACACGTGGGTGCAGCCAAGCCCCGCCTCCAGGGGTGGGCGGGGAGGCTGGCGCCCAGGGAGATAGAGAGTTGGGCAGAGCCAGGGAGAGGGAGAAAAGGGTAGAGCCAGGTGGAGAACAGAAACGGGGCAGAGCCCAGGCCCAGCTTTTTCTCTCTGGTTTGCCAGCTGACAGTACTGGCAAGCTTCTCTCCTTGGCCCCAGCCCATTTCCCACCCCTCTCCCCACAATGTCTCATTTTGAGGTCTGCCAAGAAATAGTCCAGATAAGGAACAAGTGACTGGTCCTCTCACACCTTTCCCCCAGCACTGAAATAAATTGTATTTAGCCCTAGTAGCAGATATGGGAATGCTTTCCTTTCAAAGGCAGGAATTCTTGACCCCCATCCCCTGGCCACATACCCTCCCAGGACCCCCAAAACTGCTCCAGTTTGTCCTCTAGCAGCCCCATACCAGCTCCACTGCAGGCTGTGGGTGACGGGTGGCTGCATGTGGGCCCACTTCTAAAGATCAGACCACATAAGGGGTAAGGGCCTGCTGTTGGGCAACCTAGCCCAAGGATAAGAAGAGACCCCAGGAGCCCTGAGAGACAAATGTCATCTGGCCACCCACAGTGGTCATCTCAGGGACTCACCAATGGGCCTCTCCTCACCTCTGACAATTCACACCTGAATGTCTTTCTTGAACGAAGGGTGGGAAAGGTCAAAGAGAGCTCTGATGCCAAGTGGGCCACAATACTCTTTGTAGACTCCAGGCTTAAGGAAGAAGAGGACAGGAGAGAATAGGAGGCAAAGTGTACACTGTCCTTGAGAGGCCCTGAGCTTCCTTTAACTCCTTTCTTGGACTTCCACGCTACCACACTAAGGGTTCCCTCAGGTTAATGGCTAGTTTGCAGAGGCCAGAAAGGGGAAAGGGCAGCTGTGTCCTCTGGTGTGTGTGATTTTGGGGGCAGGGGAAGAATGGAAGGAACACATGCAGCAGTTCAGGGCTCTATATCACCCACAGCCATCTGTTTGACTAAGAGGGGGAGCTCTGTTTCCAGACTGGAGAGTGGAGTAAGAGGCTCCTAACACTTCAGCTGTCTGTGCACCTTGACCTAGAGGGCAGATACCACTGTGTCGCACATGCTGACCTCCTGGCTTGGCAGACTGCTAAGTGGGTGTTGCCATCCCCCTGGGCTGCTGCTGGCCAGCAACGGGTAGTAAGCACTGGGCTAGAGGGGAGCTATGTGCAACCAATGGGTAAGGGTAAGTGGGCAGGAGGTCAAAACTGAGGAGCAACGTTTTTCTAAGTCCCAGGGACTGCCCAGGAAAAGCCCAGCATATTCTCAACAGATTTCCCATAAGGGGAACATAACATGAAGTCAGTAGCTGGTTGTTTTCGCCTCCCACAGACCGCTCCTTTATTGCACTAGCAGAGATAAAGGCATCAGTGCCAGGCTACCAGCTGGGAGCACTGATTATGGGTGATAGAAAGAATGCTTCTGTCCCTGGCACGTATGACAAAAACCCCAAAGAATGGAGGTCCATGCATAAAATTACCCCCTTGTGGGAGTATGGAAGCCTAAATGCTTCCATTTCTCATTTTCCCCCTACAACCATTTTAGGTAGTGTGGAGACAACTTGCTCATTGATATAGAAATAGAGGATAGAGATTCAGAATTGGCTTGTCACAAGAAGTTATCTGTATCACCAGAGCTCTTTTCCTAAGAGCTAACTGTAGATTATTTGCTTGAAATTAATAATAGTCCATCAGCCATTCATTACACATGTAATTAACCTGGGTAAAAACAGATGCTATTTCAATATCCTTGACATCAATTTTCTCCACTCCAAGTTATCAACCCCATACAGTCTTCTCTCTCTTTTTCCTGCTCAAGTCTGATAAACCCCCAAGTTCCATACTGGGAACAGTGTTTGTACCTTTGGTGGATTTGACTGCTTACATTGAACAGGCAATACTTAAGAGTGTTCCCATCCATGGAGACAACAGATAACTTAACTATAACTTTGGGAGGTGGTTGCACTCATCCTATGTTCCAACCCCCTTCTTGGATAATGGCACAAAGGTAGAAATAATGAGCCACCAGGTGGGGAGTAGGCACAACTGCAGCAGAATGCATGCATTTGCTAGTGGGAATAATCACTCCTGAGCAGTCTTCCAAACTGCCAGTGAGGGGTGGGTTGATTACAGAAAGAATGGCAACAACACAGCACTTCCATGATGCTCTTAAGAACTGAAATCTCACCCACGGCCATGAAAGTGGAAACTTAGTGACAGAAAACAAAAATGTTTCTTTTGTTGTGCAGGCCCTGGCCCATATCTAGCCCGGAGCCCTGGGAGAGAAGGCGGCTCGGGTTCATCACAGGTCACCCACGGACAGCTCACCCCAACCAGCAAGTGCCTTGCAGAGCTCAGGACAACTGCCATCATCAAGTGCCACTGACCTGTTAGTATGCCTAACAGGGGAACCAGGCACAGGGCTCTAAGATCCACTGGCGAAGCCCAATAATCCCACCATCACCTAGCCTGCTTGGACCACTGGGGCTGACAGAGCAAACTCTAAGGTGATACCCTGAGGTCCAAAGGATAGAAATCTCATTTTCGACTGAATCCTCAGCACCTAGCATCACAGGTACATAGCAGGTGGTCAATAAATATTTGTCAAATAAAATGAACAAACAATACAAGCACGGCTAATGGTATTAGAGGAAGAGCTCAAGGAAGAGCTCTCCCACAGTAGGTAGGGGGACTCATTCTTCAGAAGATTGTTTTATTAAAACTGGGTGACGATAAGGGGACAGTACAAAAAAAATTTTGGTCCATGAAAAAAAACATCATAATTCAGTTAATAAAAAGTTATCTTCAACAGGGACACTGTAGGAGTGCTGAGCTTCCTTCTCGTGGTTCCAGTCAGGAGCCGGGCCAGGGCTCAGCTGCCCGTTTGTCCAGTGTCACTGTGGGGAGATCCTTTCAAGGGACGGATAACAGAAGGAAGGGGAAGATGGGGAGAAAATTCTGCTGTCCCCAGTGTAGAACAGGCAGGGATAAGGGGCTGAGGGATGTGCTCGCAGGAGCCTGAGGAGGGGGTGGGGAAGCAGGGGCTTTGTCAGTTCTGTGGGTTTGAAGCCCATGCTGAACGGAATCCCCCCTCTGTGCCCAGCTGTCTCCCACCCTGCTGTGTTGAGTCTGCGAGCCTGGGATATGCTAACTCGGGGGTGATACAACCTGGAAGAAGAATCTGAGGCTCTCCTGGAAAGATGCAAAACCATCTCAGTTCCAAGGGGCCAAGATCACAAGGTCCTGCTGCTACCTGAGGGGTCTGAAGCTTTGAGGGCAGGGGTTGGGGAGTCACAATCCTGTGAGGCAGGGAGAGGGAAGAGTCACAAACCCAACTCAGAGCTATTCTCCAGCCCTAGGCGCTTTCACTCCTCAGTGCCCTAGAAGTCACCAGTGTCAACTGGGCAGACAAGGGACAGGAAGACAGGGATGGCCCAGGGCTTTTTACCCGTTTGATTTTAGGCCTGTTTCTCCGTTAAGGGACTGGGGGAGGGTAAAGGTGCAGTGAATGAATGAGTCACACCTCCAAGCAACAGTAGGAAGGAACAGCCTCTGCTGGCAATGACAGTACCCCAGATTAGATTCCTGGGGCTTTTAAAGGGAAAGGCAAGATTCCCCCACCCAAATGCTCTGGGTTAGGGCAGATATGAGGGAATCCTAAAAAAGGGCAGCTACAGGGAATGTGCTAGGAGGAAGCAACAGTTAAAGAACAAACTCTTAATACTGATGTGGACCCCTCACTAAGGAGTAAGACAAACACTGAGACAGCGGGCCAATCCAGAGGGCTGGGGACTGACCTGGGGCTCAGTGGAGCCCAAGAGCCAGGGTTCCTTTAGTGCTAGAGGGTAACAAGTGAAGGGAGAGTTTGCTCCAAACCTGTGGAGGGAAGGAAGGAAATTGGATTCTGTTATTGGGGAGCCATGATCAATTAGCTTATAGAGTGCCCCCAGGCCTGAGTCTTGGAGAAGGGACTAAAGCTCCCAACTCCTGGGTCTCTGAAGGGCAGAATCAGTGTAGCTGGTCCCCTTGAAGACCACCTGGCCTTAGGCCCAGTCCACTCAGAGCACTGATTACCACTACAGGTTCTCTCTCTAACACTACCTAGAGATCCTATGTAGACCAGGGGAGGGTAGAGGCACATGGGAACTCTGTGGGGCAAAGGGAAGCTGGGGATGGGAAGGGATGGGGTGGGAGAAGAGGATAATAGGTGTCTTGTGAGAAAGAAATGTGAGACCCTCGTCGTTCTGGTGTTGTCCTTGAACCAACAGCATCCCCTGGAGTGCCCCAAGCAAGACCAAGGCAGGTGCTATGAGGCAGGCAGCACAGGCTCAAATAAAGAATCGGTGCAGCCACGTCAGGGCTGTGGGAGAGGCCCTATGTATTTCGGATTCCCAGGGCTTGCTCTAATTCTTGTCTTCTCTGCTGCACCTAAAGAGAAAATAATGGAGGGAGTGGAAGATGAGACAGACCAGAAGTTGGTAACTAATATCAATGACCCCCATCAGGGGTGCAGACCCCTTGCCTTCTGTCAATTTCCGCTGTGCACCCCAGGCATCTACCTTGGAGTAGAAGTATCGGCACACAGCCTCCTGAGCCCAAGGCTGGAAGTAGAACTCAGCACGGCGCTCTTCCTCCGGGTTACCCACCACATCGGTCATGGTCTGAGGGAGATGGGAATAGGGGAGGGGGAAGAAAGAGGAGAATAGACTTGTTTCCTTCCTTCACACCCATTACCAGTCGAATTCTATCCCCCAAAAGATGTAGGAATCCTGAACAAGTACCTGTGAATGTGACCTTATTTGGAAATTGGGTCTCTGCAGATGATCAAGTTAAGATGAGGTCATTAGGGTGGACCCTAATCAAATATGACTAGTATCCTCGTAAAAAGGAGAAATTTGGATGCAGAGACAGACACATACAGAAGGAAGATGACTGACTAAAGATGCATGGAGAATGCCAGCTACAAGCAAAGGAATGGCTGAGGCTACCAGAAGCTAGGAGAGAGGCATGGAGCAGATTCTCCCTCACAGCCCTCAGAAGAAACCAACCTAATGGCAACTTGATTTCAAACTTTCTGCCTCCATAACTATGAGAC